CAAGATTTTCATGTGTGTGTCATGTGTTCCCCACCGTGCAGAGCCTGGAGCCCCCACTTTGCTCCCCAGGCTGAGACGTAAGTACATACCAAAGGCTTGCTTCCGTCTCTGCCCTTTTGCCATGCCCCTCGACCAGCTCCTGAATTCTGACTAGGTTGTGGGATGCTCCTCCAACTTGGAACACTTAAAGGATTTTTTTTTTTTAATCTTAGTCCCTGAATTAGAATGTGTGGCTTCTGTGTCCTCTTCCCAGTGCTGGACGGCTCGCTGCTGGTGATTCTGTATGGAAGGATCACATCCCCAGGGTGGACATTTTGCTCCTATATTCCTTTGTTCTTTTTCTGAGGAATTTCAGAGGCATCGCTCTCCTCGTCCTTCTCTTTTGAAGTCTCTTGTGGCCAGCGGTCTGCTTTCCTTGCTCAGCAGAGGGCTGGGGTGGTGTTTGTAAATTTAACTTCAGATAGCATCTTGTTTGTGAAAAAAAGAAAACAAAACTAAAGATGAGTGTGACGATAATGATAATGAAGCCTATGGAATTGTGCAGGAAAGGAAATAGGTTTAGTATACTCAAAACCATATTGCTTTATTTTATTTTATTTTTCCCTGATTTTAAGTGCTCCTAAAGACACATTGGCATTTTTGTGCCGGTAACAAGGGTGCACAGACATGTACTGATGGAGGAGTTCTGGGGGTCCCCATTACAATTCCGTAACTGGCCGTATTATGGATTTTCTCATCACCAGTAAATGTGAGCTGCCAGAGCCTACAGATAGGGGAGGGCTCCCGGAGGAGACGCGTGAGGACACCTTGTGAGAAGCCAGGGGACGCCCCAGTGGGCACTCCCACATGGCATTCAAATGGAGCGTCCTCCAGCATGGTGGGTTCGAGAGTTGTCCGTGTGTGTGTATGTGTGTGTGGGGAGAGAGAGAAAGAGAGAGAGCTCTCAGGGTGGGGGTGTGGGGGAGGAGGCCTGGAACTGCTTAGACCCAGGTTTCTCCCTCTTGCGTGATTTACTCTGTATCCTGCTCCCAGACACCGCTGACCCTCTGGAGGAGACAGTTAGAGAAGCTTGTTAAAAATGCATGTTCCTCAGCCACCCCCACCCGAGTTCCTGTTCCAGCAGGAATGGAGCGGGCCCAGTAGTGGGCATTTTAGATCAGAGTCTTACAATCACTCCGAAGCTGAAGGCGTAGACTTTGCTTCTGCCCTAAGCTGCCTTAAATGACTTTCTGCCAGAGAAGCAGTCACTAAAAGGGTCCAGTGTCATCTGCACTGGTTTATTGACACTTGAATTGGGATGGGAAGGTTTTAACTCATTGCAGAGCCAAACAAATTAATCTTTAATGGTGAGCATTATTTCTGCTCGACAGACCGAAGGGACCTCTGAGAGCTCTCTGCAGTGCTCCCCGGCCAGCTCCTAGGGGCGGGGTCTGGTCACCATGAACACAGTCTGGCCATGCAGAACCCCAGGCGACAGCAGAGCTTCAACGATGTCCCACTGTGTCCCCGGCCATCAGTGCCATTCGTCAGTTCCCAGCAGTTAAAAAGGGGAGAGTGAAATGTTACCTGATCCCCAGCTTAGGACTGGACTGAAATTTGTGGCTGATTTATCTGTCAGCCAGCTGCAGCCTTAGCACTGCGGGCTCTCTATTCTAGGCACAGTCCACTCTGAGGGTCTCCCCTGTCATGGAGGGTTGCTGATTATCTGTGATATAACTAACCTTTGCTCATGCACATTTTCCTTTTTACTATTCACGCAGTCGCTAATTCCAAAAGTAGATGGCAGTTGCCCACAATACAGTGAAATGGACAGCATGAGTGAGAGCCTTGCATTTGGTGAACGAGGCTGTGGATGCTTGATAGAAAGTCCTCAGTGAAAGGAATGATCATTGCAGTAATAAAAATAAAGAAGTACCGAGGAAGAAGAAAATCTTGTCGAGTACGACAGTGTTGTCATGAGACCTGAGGTCCGACCCCAGGTGGCCTCCAAGTAAGGACAAGGAACACCAAACCCAGGAGAACTTTCCAGGGAACAAAAGCAAAACGTCACTAAACCCAAGACATTCGCTTTCCTCCTCACGTTCCTCCCTCTGCCACACACACATAAAAATAAAGATAGGAAAAATGTCTTAGCCAATTTTGAAACCAGCCTAATCTACATAGACTGTTCACTCTCTTGGAAAATACTCCTTACTTCCAAGAAGGAAGTTTTTTCTAACTTTATTAAGGTGGTTGGGTGCCATGGCTCACGCCTGTAAGCCCAGCACTTTGGGAGGCTGAGGTGGGCAGATCACTGGAGCTCAGGAGTTTGAGATCAGCCTGGGCAACAAGGTGAAATGCCATCTCTACTAAAAATACAAAAAGTAGCAGGGCGTGGTGGTGCATGCCAGTAATCCCAGCTGCTTGGGAAGTTGATGCCAGAGAATCCCTTGAACTTGGGAGATGGAGGTTGCAGTGAGCCGAGATCGCCCCACTGCACTCCAGTCTGGGTGACAGAAGGAGACTCCATCTCAACAACAAATAACAACAAAAATC